TGGTTGACTTTTGTTTATATTTCCCTATCAGTGGAAATTTTTTATGTTTATTACCAAATTGTTCTTACTCTAATATGAACTGACTGTGGCTTTTGCCTATTTTTCTATTTTTCCTTCTGATTTGTAAGAGTACTTTCTGTAGTGAATATATTGAATCTCAAGTCATCCATTTTGCAAATACTTTTTCAGTTTTTTTGTTTGTTTCCTGTTAAGATTGTTCATATTTTGGCATGAGAAAGCTTAATTTTTTTACATGTTAAAATCTATTTCTTTAATTGCAGTTCTATTTAGAAAATCCCTTTCCATTCATGAATCAGATAAATGTTTAACTAAATCTTCAATTTTTTAATGATTCCATATTTCATTTTTCATTCTTTAATCCAACTTTTATTTATTTTGGTATCTGACATGGGAAAAGGATATAAATTGATTCTCCCCCCCCCCCGCCAAATACCCAAATTTTGCCATTCAAGTTTTGAAAAATAACCTACTCGCATTCCATCAAAACGAAATGTTTCCTTTTTCATATATTACTACTTACAAAGTCTGATTCTTGATGTTTCGTTGCTCTCTTTTTCTTTCATAAATACCATTCTTGGCATCAACATACTTACTATACATTTACTATACTAATTATTTATTTTACTATCTGATAGGGCAAATTTCTCTTTATTCTCATTTAAGATTTTTTCCTATCTATTCCTGGCTATGATTCTCAGGGAATTTTTAAGTATTTTGTCAAGTTCTCTCAATGATGTCATTGAGATATGGGTTGTGATTACATTACATCTACTAAATTAAGTGGGAAGAATCAACATCTTTCAATATTTTTCTCCAATGGGAAAAATGAACTGTGTCTCACTTTATTCAGAACTTCTTGTTGTATACCTCTTAAAACTTTTAGACTTAGTCTTAATAATCCCTACTGTTCTTCTAAGGACTGTTTTTAGATATTTTATTTTTTGTCACTATTGTGACTGAGACCTTTTTCCATAATGATTCTCAATTATCTGTCAGTGAACCAAAAAAAAAAAAAGTATTGCCTTTTGGATATTACTCTGAATACTGCCACTTTGTTGAATTCTCTTATCAATTCAAACAAGTTTTCCATTGATTCTTATTAAGGCTCTAGTTAAACTATCATCATTCACAGCCTATATGATTATCTTGAATCTTTCTTCTCATTAGAAATGCTTCTTATTTCTCCTTCACGTTAAATATTAGAGATGATAACAATTGCTTGGCTCACTTAAGTGCATGATTCTTTCTTCATTAACAAAATAGAATGTCCATATTCAAATTGTCTGCCAGAGAATATAACTTTGACCTGGCTACTGTTTGACTATTATCCAAAAGGTCAAGAGGAATGGTGCTTATGGTGCGTAGTTTGAAGAACATGAATCGGTTCTCTGGTAGTTTAGATTTTATCTCTGGATCAAACAGGATCATTAGAGAGCCACACAGTTTGCTCTGCATTTTCTTGGTCCTATAAAATTGCCTTTGCAGAACTGTGCTTTGCCTTCCTCCCTGACTTACATTAGGAATAGTGTAAAATCACTTGAAAGGTCTATTACAAATACTGTAAAGAATTTTCCTCACTTAGTAACTTAAATATAAAGAAAACCCCAAGATAGAAATGTCTTCAATATGTCCCAGAAAAAAAACATTGGTGTAATTTACTCATGTTAGATTTCAAGCTCCCTGGTCCTTCAAAAAGTGTTGTGGGGCTCACTTAGTTGTCCAAATGGGGCTCTGGTAGCAGGGGATTTGGGTTAATTCATTGAAGTCTGGGCCTAAAGGTCTAAGCAGATAGATTCATATTAAAACCAGGTTTGTTCAATATGGGAAATAGGAACAAATCTCAGTGAACATGTCAGAGGGAGGTCTCTCTACAGAGGAAAAGAACAGCTATATATGAATCATTAGCAGAAGTCTAGATATATGAAAATACAACATAAGCTGCATACTTGTATGCCTTGAATCTGAATCCACTCATTGGAAAGTCCTTTATGATTACAGCTTTGGCTTCCACGGAAGATTATTACCAGAGATAGCCATATGAAATTGCCTCTGAATTTATTATAAAAAATATTGTCAAAAACATTATCCATTGTTCAAAGTCTCAAACTTAAGTTCCCAGATAAAAAATTTTCATTCAAGAATTTAGTTACAGGAAAGCTTTGACTCCTTTTTCAAATTCCGATGCTTGCTCCTTTCAGGTATTGCATTTCCCTTTCCTTCCTCCACTTTTCCACTGCTAAGAAGCTCAGAGCAAAATTTGCCACTCAATCAGAGCAATAAGATGAGTCTTCAGAGATGACTTGTTATTTATTTTCATGTTTCTGATTTCCTCTTACTGGTTTATTAGCTGTATCATTAAACTTTTTTTAGGTCATTCCAAATAATTTTGAAAAAAAGGTAAAGTATGTATGGTATTTTGTTTCCTGTTGCTAGGTGGCTGTTTTTAATGGCTCAGACGAGGTCTATGAGGTCTATATAAAGGAGAGTCAGGTTAGACACATGATGAAAGTCGTTGGAGCAGTCTCAATCCCGTAGTTAGCTCAAGGTGGGGACTGTAACTCAACTAGATAAATGAAGGAGCCGGGCGGGTTTCTCAGCAGTGGACTGGGGAATGCATGCCCAGTCTAATGGAGGTAGCTGCCACTCAGCCCCTAAAATTAGATTGGTTTCTTGAAGTAATGCAAGCCCAGATTGCTGTATTTTACAATTTTTCAGGAAAAGCTAGAATTCAATATTTTAAAGAGAATCCTGGTTTTTGAAATGTTGACAACTAGTTCACATTCTTTAAAACACTCTGAACCAGCAGAAGATAGGATGGCGCTGACAGGGAACAGGTGGAGAAATGGGGATTTGCGAGTTGTTGTTCCACGGGTGTAGAGTTACAGTTATATAACACAAATAAGCTCTAGGGATCTGCTGCACAACGCAGTGCCTATAGTTAACAATATGGCATTGTGCACTTAAAAACTGGTGAAGAGGTTAGATCTCATGCTAAGGGCTCTTACACACACGAATGAAACAGACACACAGGGAAACTCCTGAAGGTGACAGCCATGTTAATTACCTTGATCATGGCAATGGTATCATGGCTATATGCATATGTCCAAACTCATCAAACTGTATACATTGAATATATGCAATTATTTGTGTACATATTTTAAAAAACACAAAACTCTAGTAGTCTTCCTTTATTCACAGATTTGCTTTCTGCAGTTTCAGTTACTTTGGTCTGAAAATATTAGATGGACTATTCCAGAAATAAATAATTCACAAGTTTTAAATTATAAAAACTTAACAAGTCATTAAATTTTGACTGTTCTGAGTAGTATGACAAAATCGTACTGTTCCCCTTTGTCCCACCAGGGACGTGAATCATCTTTGCCCAGTGTCTCTACCCTGTATACTCTTTTCGCCTGTTCATCACCTGGTTATCAGATCGACTATCGTGATACTGTAGTGCTTGTATTCAAGTAACTCTAATGTTACTTAATAATGGCCCCAAAGTACAAGAGTAGTGATACTGGCAATTTGGATATGCCAAAGAGAAGTCTTTAAGTGAAAAGGTATGTATGTATAAGAAAAAACAGTATATACAGGGCTCAGTACTACCTGCAGTTTCAGGCATCAACTCAGGGTTTTGCAGCATATCCACTGTGGATAAGATCCTAGATTAAACCACCACCTGTGGCCCAGACCTGGGCCTTTGGGCTCTGAGATATCTGTGTGCAAGTATTAGAAACCCAGTTACCAAGGTGACAAAGCAAGTATTTTGCCACCAGGACGTTGATGTCACAATGCCACCAAGGATCACACTGAGTTAAACCTGAATAATAAAGCTTTTGGCCTGAGGAACTAGATACTTTGAGCTCTGTCCCCGATTTTGTGAGCATGGAATAGTAGAAAGAGGCCTGGACTTGGAATCTGGAAGCATGACCTTGGTCTCAGCAGTGCCACCAACAAATCCCATACAGGGTTAGCAAGTCCATGGAATTTCATGAGGTCTCCATACCACTCCCCACACAAGAAGAAAGTTAGATATGATATGTGAATCTTTCAAATTCTTTATTTCCAAAAGTATCTTATCAGAAAGCCCAAAGATATGTGAGCATGAAAGAAGTTTCCACTCACTTTAAATCATGTGCTTCTACAGAAGAACTGTCGAAATTTCCAGTGTTGCCCCTGACCCTGAGGTGAATTTTCAAGGGTGAGTAGGAAAAAAAAATCAAGGTTGAAAAATAAAGGACAGCTTGACTTCTAATCTCCACCAAAGGAAATTCTAATATACTTTTTTTGTCAACAAAAACATGGTCATAATATGCTTCAGTGCTTTGACTACTTTTTGGAATGAGTAGGGTTTATAATTTACAAGTAAGTACCATTTGAACATACACGCTTTTTATATCTTTTTTTTATAAATAAAAAATCACAAACTATAAGCAGCTGAATCTTAACAACGCTTTCAGAATACACGATTACTTTAATTCTGCAATGATTGTTACAAGTTTTTCCTTAAGGGCACCACAAAGTTCACCCACCTTTTCTTCTTTTTTGTAAAACTGAAAGGTTGGGATGGAAATGATGTCGAGGTCCTTCACTAGCTCCTCGCACTCATCAATGTCCACTTCCAGGAACAGTATGTCCTCATGCTTCACAGACAGAGAATAGAAAAGGGGCTTGATGGTCCTGCAAGGCCCACACCACGTGGCTGAGAAGTCCACGGCCACCAGCCTCTCCCCAGCCTCCTTGAGTGCAGACTCAAAGTCCTCTTTGCTCAAGATCGCTTTCACCATGTTGACCTCCGAGAGCTCCATTGTTTTTTCTGCTGGGATGTCACCTTCTACAGGCTGAATGGTTTCTTCTGAGGACTTGGGTATGTCACCCTCCTTGGGCTGGATGATTTTTTCTGAGGACTTGGGGGTGTCGCCCTCCTTGAGCTGGATAGTTTCTTCTGAGGACTTGGAGGTGTCGCCCTCCTTGAGCTGGATGCTTTTTTCTGAGGACTTGGAGGTGTCATCCTGTTTGGGTGGGATGGTTTTTGCTGGGGAATTGGGGGTGTCACCCAGCTTGGGTGGGATGGTTTTTGCTGAGGACTGGGAGGTGTCACTTTCCTTGGGCTGAATGATTTCTTCTGAGGATTTGGGGGTATCACCCTGTTTGGGTGGGATGGTTTTTGCTGAGGACTGGGGAGTGTCACCCAGCTTGGATGGAATGGCTTTTGTTGAGGAATTGGGGGTGTCACCCAGCTTGGGTGGGATGGTTTGTGCTGAGGACTTGGGGATGTCACCCTGCTTGGGTGGGATAATTTTAGCTGAAGACTTGGAGGTATCACCCAGCTTGGGAAGGATGGGTTTTTTTGAAGAATAGGGGGTGTCACTCTGCTTGGGCGGGATGATTTTTGCTGATGACTTGGGGGTGTCGCCATGCTTGAATGGTATGGTTTTGGCTGAGAAATTGGGGGAGCCAATCTGCTTGGATGAAATGGTTTTTGCTGCGGAATTAAGCGTGTTACCCTCTTTAGGCAGGATGGTTTGTCCTGGGAAACCGGTGGTGTCACTTTGCTTCGGAGGGATGGTTTTTCCTGAGGAATTGGCAATGTTACCCTCTTTGGGAAGGATGGCTTTTCCTGGGGATCTGAGGGTGTCACCCTGCTTGGGTGGGATGGTTTTTGTTGAGGAATTGGGGTTGTCACCTTCCTTGTGCTGCCTGGTTTTTGCTGAGAAACTGGAGTTATCACTGCCGTGCTCAGGAAGGTGTGTGTCCGCAGACTGCGAAACTTTGGATTCCTCTGCAGGTACATGTTGTATTTTGCTGACATCATGGGCAAAAGCCTTCTCCTGGGTGTGTGCTGAGACCAGGAGAGTCACATGGTTGGGCAGAACCTGTGATAGTGGACTCTCTGAACAAAAAGCAAATAAAAAGGCAAAAGAAAAAACAAACAAAAAAAATTTGATCATATACTTCAAGGAAGATTGGTAACATGCTTAGAGCTCACTAATGTAGTCTTATAAATGATCTGTTAATTTAAATAATCACATTTGACAGGAAGCCAAGCATCATGGAATTACATGTATCCTTTATGTAGGTTTTTTTAACTACAACTTTCTCAGCTTAGTCTGACACTACTGCCTATTCCCTAAGCACATAGGTCTCTTAAGACAACACTCTTTTCTCCCTCTTACCATTAGGATTCCTTTCATGTGTTTCTGCTTGTTCGCCTGGCCTCATTTCCAAATCTTCCAGGGCTCCAGCTTTACCACTTTCCATTTCCAGTTCTTTGTCTATATTCATTCTTACTTCATAGATACCTCATAGCGAAGAAGAGGCCATACCCTCCAACTTTTTCCAATCTGTCCAACCTAACGTCATAAAATGAATAACAATTTATTTGCAGATGGTACTTACAGATTGTGTTCCCTCTCTGTACTCACAACAGTAATATTTAAGAGTTTCATGACAGCCTCAGTTATGGTGGCCACACTGAGCATGAGCCTGTGCCCAGAGCCTGATATGCATTCACAAGCATTATTTCCTATAAGATAACAAACCACTGAGGTAAGTGCCATTATGATCTCCACTTTACAAATGAGAAAATTTAACCTTAGAGAAGTTGTGTAACTCACTCAAGGTCACCAAACAAGTCTGCAGGGCAGGTTTCAAGCCTGCACTCTGAGTCTTACACTGTGTCAGAAGCCCTGCCCAGGATGGCAACTTGAAACCAACCTTCCTACAATCTCTCTCTAGGATTCTCCAGCTCCAGCTTTCTCTTTATGACTCACCCACCATAACCATCTATGAAATGTCTCCTCCTAACCACATTACTCTCCTCTGTATAGTACTGCCCCACTGTCACATGCCTTGTTTGAACTATTTGGGTGCGAGTAGATTGTGACACACAGGAACTCCTTGAGAGGAAGAAGTGAGACCATCACCCCTTCCATCCCAGTAGATGGGAAACCAAGAGAACAGATATATGTGTCCTGGCCTCCCCACTCCAGGTTGAAACCTTAGCATGAATACAGATTACGTGTGTTCAGAAGAAAGCTGAAAGCAGAGGAGTATTTGCTTCATGCTCCAACTGGAAGGCCAGGAAAAGCCCACATCCACATGGACTCCACATCAACATAGCAGCATGGGCCACTGGCAGAGGATGCAACCAGATTGTTGGGCCTGCTATGCACATGTCAGGAATCCAGAAGTCCCGCGTGTCCCAGAGTGGGCCCATGAGTGTTCTGAGAGGTCCAGAGAACCAGGAGAGGCCTCAAGGAAGAATAAAAAAGCCACAGCACAGGAGGATTTGCAACCAGAAGCAAGGACTAGGGGCATGAGCTTGACCAGTAGATAATATCACAGTGCCCAACCCCTAGATGAGATCAGGGGTCCTCAGTAGTCCTCAGGCTAGGGACCAGGCCAGCAGAGGCAGATGGCCCAACCACAACTAGTCCACAAAGAGCTGTGTACCCATATGTTATAGAGAAAGGGGAGGCATCAGAAAGACTGAGCTGATATCGGTGTTCTTCAGGCTGAAATACTACAAACAGATTTAATTCCATGTCCTTGTTCCTCACCCTCTCTCTCCAAATCCCTTTGAGATTAGGCTCATGGGGAAGAGAAGATACATGAAAAAAATTTTAAAGTCGTATTATATCTGCACATCTTAGTAAAAATGAGGAAATGAGCAATTGTGACCCTGTTACATTTATACTTG